CTATAATGATTTTCTAAAATTATAGATGCCAATAAATAAATCAATAAAAAAATCGTGATTTTCTTATATATTAATTTAACATGAATTAACAAGTACCTCTTGCGAGTCCTTTTCCACGTAAATGACCTGATTGATTCGCAATGGACCATCATTGAGCTCTGTTGATCGTTCAGAGGCATCCAAAGGTGATATAAATGAAAATTTTGCAAAAGAAAATCCCGGTGTATATTTTCCGGATTCGGGTCTTTTGACTAAACTTTTTGAGAAAATGCTCGTGATCAAGAAAGCTTTATTTAATCGAAGTTGTCGAGGAGAGGATATGATGATAATGATGTGGAAGATCGAATGGCAAAAAGATAGAATTTGATGAAGGAAAGTAAATATCCTATTTAAAAACTTGTTCGATAATAATGCCGTTTTTTTATTTTATTAGTTTATTAATTTATAGCTTTAGATTTTGACTGGGGAATTGAACAAGTAATTCCAAAGCAACCGGTAAAAATTGATAAATTTCAAGAAACCAAGGAAAAACAGATTAAAATAATCTTAATCTGATCATAATACAGGAATTGTTTATTGATCACAACACATTATGGTTTCATTGAATAATATAATCGATACTTTCTTTACTCACGTCCAAGAGACTTGTAATAAGATTAATGAGATCAAGGATCCGGAGAGCTCAACATCTGAATCCAGACGTAGAAATCGAATTGAGGTTGAGGATATTAAATTTGATGACGAGTATTTTATGTGAGTTTTTGATTATAACATTTCTTTTATTCCATGTTAATTTTTACGTGACTTTATTATTTTAGGGGTGATTATGCTTCTGATGAGGAAATTAAACGCGTCATGAATTATAAAACTGTATGGTGGAAACTTTTACGTAAAATACAAGCTACCAAAGAATCAAAGTCTTCAATTGTTGACTTTTCGAATGGTAATTGTTCAATTGTTTAAGCAAAAAGTATAACAAGGGAATCTTCAAAACCACTCGGCACTTCAACTATATCCAACGCCTCAAATAGCGAGATAGAGAATGACGTCGTCGCATCCACACAAACTTAGCAAAGAATGGCACAACTTTATTATAAAAGAACTTTTTACAATTCACAAAACGTGATCAAGAGATAATGCTGAATTTGCCGAATAAAGAATTTATATTGGTAGCGAATTTTATAATGTTTTTCAATATTTCTAATCTCGATTATTTTATTTAGATCTCCTTGACGATGAAAAATCAATTTACCTTGGATTAATAGACTTACTTTCTGCATACATCGTGTGACCGAAGGCGAGAATACCATAAAGTCTGTATGGACTGGGGGAAAACTAAGCTCGACGATTTTATGTCTTGAAGTAACTGAATTATAAAATCTAATTATTAGCTTCAAATACCATAACATTTTGCAACCCTAAAAGCACAATAACCGCGTTGTATCGTCACGCATTATCATATCCACTCTACCGAAAAATGTCTAATGGAATTAAAAGAATCATTTGATCATCATAACGTTTATCGTTATGAATTGATATCAATTTTATTTGTATTAATTTTCTAAATAAGGGGGGATCGCTAAAGCAAGGCAAGCCGTTTAGCCATATACCAGCCACATTTGATCACCATAACGTGACTTATCACGTAAAATTTTGATCTAAAAACTTGATTGGTCCATCGTAATTGTCGTTAGAATTCTCACCAATGAATAGACGCATAAAATACTCCATGAGGTACTGTGTATGGTGATGGGTACATAACAAGGGGGGTACACAACGACAAGGAAAGAGGAATGGCATATATTTAGAAAGGATTAACTAGCACTTTTAAAAAAGAGAAATATACATTCGACTCGTACACTTTTTCAAGTTAATTATAATAATGTATAGATTAAATAGTTAGTTTTTTTTTAGTTTCAATAAATTCAAATTCATATTAAAATATAATAGATCCAGGTATAATATATGGGGAATTTTTTACTGAAAGGGTATTTTATACAGTAATATACAGTATACAAGTGCGATAGGTTGAAATAATTAACCAAAATATAAGAAACTAATAAACTATAAAATTATTTTTTAAGAGAACGTTGAATTGTTATAAACGTGATTCTATTTCTCTATACACACTTTTTTTACACGCAAGCATGATGAATTCGTCTCCTATTATTTATTCTCACTATCTATGTACAGTAACCCGCAAAAGTATCCAATCATCTATAACTTGGATCAAAGGTAAAATAATTCATTTTTCTTTTTTTATTTTAAAATATATAATATTTTCTGATAACTAATAATACATTGTATAATTCCCTGCTGCTTTAATTACTGTCTTAATCCAATTTTTCGTACTATTAACTAATTTGGCAGCAAAATTATCAGGTAAGCGATTCCATTTTTTTACTAATTCACTTTTTAATCCTTTAAGCGTTCTAATTTTTTTTGATATTTTAATTTTTATTAATCTTCAAATATTCTCAATAGGAATGACATCAATAATCAGGGAGTACCTCAATGTTATTTTTCTTCTTTCAACTATCAATCAATTTCAATCAATGTTTCAGATCATTATCTTTCTGCAAAATCCATTCTACATAATCCTCTCCAAAAAGCTTCTTAACGGATGGTAAAAGATCTCTCTTATAAACTGTAATCATAAATTTAGCATTGTTATATAATGATCTTTCATCATAATATTATATGTTATTGAATTATACATATCTCATATCTTATTGGATAAAGATTAAATTACATGAAGCGAGCGAACAAGCGAGCAAACAAGTGAACGAGTGAACGAACGAATATTGAACCAATAGAATTTAAGTGATATAGTAAACATAAATTCGTATAGTCTAGAAATTATATCTTGGATTTGTATAAAAGCAACATATATTATAATTATTAGAAATAGATATGAACAAGTTCTTTTAGATAGTAATTCCCAATTATCATATCTAATTAGTTATCATGTAGTTTTGATCATTTAAAGAAAAGTAATTAATCAAGTACAAACTTCTCTCTACATCCTTTTGACAAAGTATTCTTGTTTCTTGTATAAGAAGTTATACAGACTAAAGATGGCATGGCAACTGTTGCAACGTGATGACAAATAAAGCATCACCTAGTTGCAACTAGTTGCAGCTTATAAA